GGGCAAGGCCCTACAAAGTGCAATAAACCGTTTCGAAAAAGCGGGGCACAACCTGAACGACCTCCCTTGTTAGAGAATGGACAGCCTTCTTTTCGCATCCTCCTGTGTCCCCCTCTCTCTCCTACTCCTTTCGCTATTATCTGTTTACTCGTCGCTTTTTGTTCATGCGTTAGTAAAAACTGTTTTGTTTCATACGTGTGATCGCTCCCAGCGGTTAACGCTTGCTCACACCTTGTGAAGTACTCAATATTTACTCAAGGGTCCATTGTACCCCGATGGGTATCAAAAGCCGCCATAGCGCCCAGGTGTTCCATCGCTTCAGATTCAATAACTCGGTAGCACTTCGTTCAGGAAGGCAAACCCCTCAGTTGGATATCGACTGCCCCTTAAGGCTGTCGAAGAGGCTCCTAACACTGTTGTGTTTCTGACCCTTTTCGGGGATCTTCAAATGCACGATTATCGCTGGCCGTACGGGCAAGGACATGGATGAAGACTACGACCATTGTGCCTTCCTCCCTCGTCGGCATGTCTCTGCTTTTACATCGAGACGCAGTATCAAGAGGGCACCTACGACGAACTCGCAATGTTAGGCTGTCTCCAACCAACTCGCAATGTTAGGCCTGTTAGGCAATGTCTCCAATCATGCCTCTGCCCGCACGATCAGCGTGGACTCTGAACGCTAGTATTCCTTCTGTGTTTTACTAATATTCAAATGCTCTTCAGATTTTACCCACTCCCTGCCATCACCGAAGCAAACAACGAGATACCACGCTAATCACAATGTCCTAGCAGGGCTTAGAGATACGGTATATTTCTTGATTTATGACTCTTGGTCAGTTTTGTCACTGTTATCACTCACTTTCCCAGAGTCGACATAACCCGTCCCAGGGAAGTATAGCAAACCTTTCGCTCGCCTGCCTCATCAATTGATCAATGTCCTCTTCTTTCATTTACATCTGCCTTCTGAATTCTTTGCTTCCACCATTCGCGGATCTCCCCACGACGTGCGCTGGTCGTGGCTGGGTCTATATGCTTGTCTCTGCGCTATACCATAATTCACCAAAAGCCGTTGCAATAGAGTATGGATGCAGAGTAGCAAGAGCCTGAGAGTTGAGGGTCACCAGTAGGGATAACGGCAGACAAAGGAAGTTTACATTGGGATATCTCCCTTCGAGAGAGAGAGAGAGAGAGAGAGAGAGAGAGAGAGAGAGAGAGAGAGAGAGAGAGAGTATAGCATACGTACCTGGGGCTGCATGCTACACTTTCCCTCAAACAGCAGAAAGAGGAGATTCATCAGGGGAAGAACTCCTCCGTAAAATCCTCTCTCTCTCTCTCTCTTGCTGTTATCTCTATCCATGCCCTCGTCTCTCTGCACTTGCCCTATCTTGGCATATACAGGGGGGCCAAAAAAAAGTCATTTTGCCTCCATGACTTTCAAGGCGCTATAAGTTACACTTTATTAAATTTTTATCGGACATTTTTACTACCATATTAAAGAGCACATTAAATACTATAAATGATACTCCGCCACAGCCTTCTGGAGGAGCGCCATCGAGAGATTCGGCCGCGCGAAGTGAGGGTACCGGAGTTGAGCGAGATCGTTGATTTCTCCGCCACTGTAGACCACCCTGTTGAGCTCCGCCCGAACTAGGTAATTGAGTGGGTTCAGGTCAGGGGACATATTTCAATATTACATCTTCATCAGGTACGAAACGCCCTTCCATTCGAAGTAGGCGGGAGTTTTTCCAAAACCCTTCGATTCCATGTGGTGGCACCCTAACTCTTCAGAGCACTAAGGGGCTCAAGAAGGTACGGCGACCACATGTAGGGAGGATATCCTTCTCGAGTTACTTGATGTAACCGCCAGCGCTCACCTTCAGTCGGGGTCTACAAAGAAAATATCGGTCTTCCCATTCCAGGTACGGCCGGTCCACACCATCAACCCGCGCCTTGGTGAATGGGGTGAAGATGATGTCCTGGACCGTAGCGACGTTGCCGTAGCTGCTCGATGTGGGAGGTCTTGCAGATCAAGAGTACTGACCTCCAGGTAGCTATCTGTGGATGACTTCATTCAAGAAGTTTCGCAGCTGTTTGGAGGCGACGTGAATTCCAAAGGTGTTCTCCAGTCAGGCCGCGACTGGAGATGACTTCATATTTTGGCGTACATGAAGGCGATTGGCGGCAGCCTGCTCCAGCTTATAGAGGAAGATCTTGGGTATCTTCCGCCCTCGGTAACTCATATCCACTATCCTCTGATCTGCGGCCGCGAAACTTCGCCTCAATAGTGACTCGGCCGGAATGACGACTTTTTTTTTTTGGCCCCCCCCTCTATGTCTCCCTCACTCTCGCGGAATCTCCCCAACGACATTCGCTGGGGGAGAGGGGAGCATATCGATTATACTCTGCGCTGCACTATATTCGCAAAGAGCATGTATGGATGCAGAGCGGTGAGAGCCAGAGAGACGAGGGGCATCAGTAGAGATAACGGCAGAGAGTGGAGGTTTACAAGGAGACATCTCCCATCGGGGGAGTTCGGCATACGGTCTCTGATGAAGACCTCACAGAACTCCTACTCATCCCATCAGGTCCCGCTAGATCAGGAAGGTGAAAAGGAGTTCAGAAGCACCGTCTCTCCATTCTACTTGTAGTCCGTCACCTTTGATCCGTGGGAGTCAATCTTAAGCGACGGTCCGCTCCTCTGACCCACACCTGTGAATTCTCGAAGAAGCAACGTGAGGTTGTTTTCATCAGTCAGGGTTGTTGGAATGAGTTCTTACTTGAGAAATTTGCTGCTGCACACCAATCGGAAAGATCCCCAAAGGCGTTGATTTTGTCCTGTGATCGCTGGTGGTCCTGAAAATGTGTAAGTGAAAACAAAGACATTCAACTTCATTTCAAAAGCGATTGAAGCTATACAGTGACTTGTGTGGCTAGTCAATAAATAAGTCAGTATACATATTTTCCCAGAAAAGTTGGCACTATTCAACTATTACTACCCCAGTTTTGCGAAAACAGGCCGGATCTTGATCGACTTTTTTCTACGGGGGCGGATTTGGCTGAAATTGGGTTTAGGGGTAATTCGACCTCCTGAACACGAATATCACATCCACTTGGCCTGAAAGTGCCTGGCGCCCGCGCCAGTGATTTAGGGCATTTTGGCGCCGGCGCCTGTGGCGCGGGCGCCGAGCGGTTTCAGGCCGAGCGGATGTGATATTCGTGTTCAGGAGGTCGAACTACCCCTGGGCACAAGTTTTCAGCGGATTTGGTGATCTAGGGTACTTTGGCGCCGGCGCCTGTGGCGCGGGCGCCAGGCAGTTTCGGGAGGAGCGGATGTGATATTCGTGTTCAGGAGGTCGAATTACCCCTAGAACCCAACTTTCAGCCAAATCTGCCCCGTAGAAAAAAGTCGATCAAGATCCGGCCTGTTTTCGGAAAATTGGGGTAGTAATAGTTGAACAGTGCCGAAAGTCTGCTACCATATTAAGTGACCTCGGCGAATGGAAGGCTGGCCGCCCTGGTGAAGGGTCGATCGAAACCAAAACTGGGTCCCGTTGTTCAATGTTGTTTCTGAGGGAATGGGACCGTTCTAGGAGGTTTTCCGACCGCTTTGTTCGTTATGTTGTGTGGCCAACTGACGCCAGGTGGCTGGCCGCCAAAAATGGATGTCATTTTTGTGATCAGGACTGTCATTTACAGCAGAGCATGCACTTTAGTGAGGATGCTCGGTTACCCAAGAGAATTCTAATCGGGAGTAGTACCATAAGGGGTGTACTGCCCTTGGTCACCTTAGTGTTTCAAAGTTTGGTCAAGAATTCAGATCCCCCCCCTCCCCCATCCCACTTCTGTGGGTCGCTATGGCTACTTTGATCCCTAAAACACGATTATTACACCTTCTCAAGAACGCTTGCGTCTTGCGCTTCGGACTTCTGCAAACCCTCATCCTCTCAGCTCCGCAGTCGCTTTCATAAGCGACAACGCCGGAATGCACGCGATATTTCTATGAGAAATGACTTGAGTGTCACCTCAAGCAGAAGGCAACTTCTAGTTTCAGATTCAAGCTAATTAAGGTTTTTTGAGCCTTACTCGTACGTTGAGAACGGTGTGACCAGGTAAAAAAGTACATAAGTTTACTCAAGAACTGGATAGCAGGCTAGAAGGCTGACATGTATCTACCGCTCAAATGCGTATCATCCGATATTTCCAATGGCCAAACATTCTTTCTTGATTGAAACTATACCTGTCCTTTGTCTGCCGGTTCATTCCCGAATTCAACGGTTGCCCGTCGGCAATTCACTTCACGAGATTTTTCATCGATTGGTACATATACGTTGCTGTGTTGAACTTGAAGTGGGAACAGATATCTGAAGTAGGAATGATAACATCTGGTATTAGATTGTCCGGAAAGTTCTGCACGTTTTGTGTTACTATTTTTTTGTACATTCATTGCTGTTTAAAAACTCATTCTCCCTTGCGTCTCAGTAATACATCCTGAGAGAATTTTTTGCGCTACCTGATGGTAAAACTGCTGCCGTTTCACCATTGCTTGATAAACCCCCTTTTTTAAGATTTTTTCAAGCATGTGAAAAGAGCACTTCGGACGATTTTTTTCTTCGACTATAAATTGGGGCAATCCGCAATCGAAACAGCTCAACAAATTAGGTGTGGAGGGCAGTATTTCCCTAAGAGAAAACAACTGTGCGGCATAATATAAACAAATTTTCGTTCTGGAGAGATTTTCAGCCCCTGAAGTATGAAGCTCTGTAGGCTGGTCGCACCTAAAACATATCTGACGAGGATTTTGGGGATTTTGGAGGCTGACCCCATCCCAAACCGTTCGAGAGATTGCAGAAAAGCTAGGCGTTGGCAAATCCACTGTTGCAGATGGTCTGAAACGCATTGGGAAGGTGAAAAAAAAACTCGACAAGTGGGTGCCCCACAATCTGAGTGACCGGGCAGAAACTGACACGTTTCGAGGTTTCTTCTTCACTGCTTTTGCGCAAGAGAAACGACCGTTTCTAGACCGAATTGTCACCTGTGATGAAAAGCGGATCATGTATGATAACATGAGACGTTCCGAACAGTGGTTGGATTCCGACAAACCACTGAGGCAATTTCCAAAGCCGAATCCTTACGAAAAAAAAAAGATTATGGTCACCGTGTGGTGGTTATCGGCTGGTGTAATCCACTACATTTTGTCACTCCAACCAACCATCACATGAGAGTTTCTACTTGTGAATAAAATCGACGAAATGTACCGAATAATTGCGTCAGCTGCAGCCAGCACTTGTCAACAGAAAGGGTCCGATTCTTTTGCATGACAACGCCCGCCCACACGTTTCACAAATCACTATCCATAAATTGAACGAATTGGGTTGAAGTTCTACCTCACCCGCCATATTCTCCAGACCTTTCACCAACCGAGGCAATGTCACGAACCAGAAAAAATCTGGTCACTGGTTTGGTGGTCATCGGCTGGTGTGGTCCACATAACTTTTTTAATCACCCAGGTCCAAACCAATTCAACCAGCGCACAAACCCTACTGTGAAGGAATCGACGAAATATACCGAAATTTTGTCAGCTGCAGCCAACACTTATCAAAAGAAAGGGTCCGATTCTTTTGCATGACAACGCCCACCCACACGTTTCACAAATCACTATCCATAAATTGAACGAATTGGGGGTTGAAGTTCTACCTCAACCGCCATATTCTTCAGACCTTTCGCCAATCGACTATCACCTTTTCTAACATTTTCAGAACTCCCTTGCTGGAAAATACTTCATCAATCAGGACCAGGCAAAAAAATTCGTGGATTTCGTGAATTTTCGACCACCCAGTTTTTTCCTTTGATGGGATTTCTCGACTGCTGTCACATTGGCAAAAGTGTGCTAATTCGAATAGTGATTTGGATCAAATCCGATGAGTGTTAAGAAAGTTATGAATCGTTTAAAGTGAAACACTCGAAACGTGCTGAACTTTCCGGACAACCTAATAATTTCGTCGTTTCTAAGTTTTCTTTCATTGCCATCAGCCGCGCAAGGGTAGTAAATAATGAAGGGCTAAATTTTCAGCCAGTTTCTATATCATCTGTCAGTTCCGGCTGCAGTATTATCCACCTAATCAGCTCCTTGTATCTTGCATAACAATGCGAAGCGAATGGTAAGATTCAAGAGGCATGGGGAATGAGTCCACACGCTGCTGCGTATTTTCTTAATAGAAGTCTCTGGTCAAACTAGGCACTATGGATAGAAAAGCTGCAGCGGCTAGGCTTTTCAGGTAAAGGGGGCGTGGTTATTAGGCCCTTACCTAACAACCACGCCCCCTCTACCTAAAAACCAGCTCACTAGTAAGGTAGAGGGGTTTGCCTCGTTGAGCCCTCTACCTTACTAGTGAGCTGATACAGTTTTTCAAGATTTTCGTCCTGAACGTAAGTAGCAAACGACTAATAAGAGTATCCTATTTCTAAAGAGTATTGAACTCTTTTCTGGAACCTAGAAAAAAACTTCACATTTCTGCTGAAAGAATTATCCCCATCGTTTCTTAAGATCTGCCAACCACTTTTTGTAGCGAGTCAGCGCAATGCAATTCAGCACCCTAGAACTCTTGTTTTCACGAAAGAAGTCAAAGAAACATTTTCCAATAGAAAGGAAAGTGTGGCTTGTGATTCACAAACACTGAGATGTGTCTTGTGTGGCGAGATCTTAGTGATTCATGCAGTCTTGTTCGTGCGGATGCAGGGGCGGGGGTGTCAGGACTGGAGTTAGCAAGGCGGCAACCCGTTCTTCTCCCGCTGTGGAAACTGGCGAGAGGCCCTGATTGGTTGGAAACGGACTGGTGCCGTGCAGCCTTGGACCTCTTCGCCCTTTCCCTCCCTCTGATCGTGCCGAAGCTTCCGCACCGGATAAGACGATATACCTGATATTTGAGGTGAACAATCCGCTTAGTTAATGACGAGAACAAGTTAATGACTTCATTAGCGGTCAGCTCTGAAGCGCGAAAATATCTCGCCGTGCTCTCCCCGTATCGGTTTAAGAGGGGGTTCAAGAAGGTAGGAAAGTGTACAAATGATTCTCATGCGAAAGTTTGAGCCGGAAAAATTAATCGTCGTGGGACTTGTCTTAAGTGATGGCGTTTCCTTGCTCCGCCCGCCTAGGAACCCGGGGGTGGGGGGAGGGTGGGCGGGGTTGGGAAATGTATCTAAAGGCCCACTCCGCAACTGTAAACCGTGGGCAAACCGTGGGGTACAAGCATCAATTTATAGGTCTCACTTCGTCCTTATACTAGGAAACTCCTCACAAATTCTATCCGCAGCCTCAACGTGGCGTGGCGGTGTACGGTTTCCGTCCGCTACTGATGCGGGACGCGCTAATGTTCGACGCATGGTACGCTGTCGATTCATATGCCGAAAACAATAAAGGAAATGGGCTTCAATTCTCCTCGACAAGAGGTGGAGCGCGACAGGTCGCGTTTCTTTTGGTTCAGGACAGTGAGGCGACATTGGGTGAGATACCGCTTTTCTATGCGAGGAGAGAGAGAGAGAGCCACAAAGTTCAAAAAGCGAAATCCCAAAGCCGTCGTCAATTAAAACCACTTCACATATCTCGCTGCCTTACAGGAAGGTTGCCGTTTACTGACAACATCGTCGAGGGATACGAACGGCTTGTCGAACATCTTCACTACTGTGCCAAGAAGTCAGAGAATGACAAGATTGCCAAGGAGCGTTCATCTCTGGAAACTCTCGAGCTGATTCGCCAACGTGGAGCCGCACGAGCCGCAGGCAATTACCAGCTGACGTCTGAGCTTGCGAAGCTATGCAGAGAAGCGATAAAGGAAGACCTCAAGGAGAGAAGAGCAGCAGTACTGGTGGAAGCCGCAGAGGCTGGGAAGAGCATACGCAACGCCTGCCGCAACTTCGCCAACTGTAAGCCCGAAATAACGGCCTGCGACGTCCGGACGAACGGCCACTGCATCCAGAAGGGCAATGGAGGAGGTCGTCCACGACTTCCACTCTGATCTCTTTGATAGCCACATCCACCGGCCACCGAAACGCTCGGAGCAGGATAGTCCACTTTTTTCAGTTCTCCCTTCCAAAGTTCCGCACTCCATTTTTTTGGTGAAGAATCGTATGACATCCGGTCCCAACAGGATCAGATCTGAGCGTCTGAGAAAACTCCCGCCGCTTCTCATCACCTGACTCTTCACGCGCTACCTGTCGGGATGCAAGGTACCATACTCCTGGGAAACCAGCAAGACTGTGTTGCTGTACAAGAAGGGAGACCTGTACGACATTGGCAATTATCGCCCAATCTGCCTGCTGTCTGTAGTCTACAAACTCTTCACACGAGTCATCCTGAACAGGATTGGAAGACAAAAAAAGCCAGCCACAGTGTTTCGGGAAGATCCAACACGATCAATCACATCCACGCGGTGAAGAAGCCCATCTACAGTAAGTACAGTAGTAGAGTACATGTTGTTGTTCCTCACCTTCATCGACTTGAAAAACCCTTGAGTCCGTTGTAATAGAAGCTTTTATTGAAGACCTGGAACCTAAGGCGCTCCTAATCAAAACATCAGGGTACTTCGTGATCACTCCAACGACTTCACGACCTAGGATCTCACCATTCTACAAGGAGATCATCATACTCGTGAAGAAAGGAGTCCGACAGGAGCCAACCGTTTTGCCCGAACTATTCAGCGCATCTTCTAGTATGTCATTCAACCGGCATGAGAAGACATAGTAGTGACCATTGAGACCGGCAGCTACATCATCAGCTTTGATGACGACGTCGTTTTGATAACACCAAACATCGAGCAAGCGGAACGAATGCTGGCTGATTTCGACTGCGCGTGTGGAAAAAGTCGGTTGCAGCTGAATCTGACGAAGACGAGCGGCTTGGAGAGTGTGTCCATGTTAGCAAGTTTGATCACATCTGTCGAGAGGTCGCCGATTTGTTTGGCTAGCAGCCTTCCCAGTTCTGCGAGAAGGGGATAGCTGACTTGTTTGGTAGGTGGAGCACTGTAGTGGCTAACAATGCTATTCCATTTTTGATAAATTCCTGTTCGAGTTGAGCTGAAAACCATCAAAGAAAAGAATAGCAGCAATAACAAGTTCTTCTTTCCACCCAAATATTGCTGTACCGTGAGCAAGTGAACTCTCTAAGGGGGCCTTCATCAGTTGTTTAAAGTGAAAAATGCCTTCAGTAAGCACAAAAATCACGATTCACGTTTCCAAAGTCATGCATTCCGACAGGTGCCTACTACGGCACATGTTGTATGTTACACCCTGTCATATTGTGAATATTTCTATCCATGAAACACTTACTAGAGTTGCTGTGCAAGTAATGCAGTACATATGCCGATTTCTGGATGCGGACAGCTCCATTCATCAAGAAACTTGATGAGCTTTCCCGATTTGAGGTAGACGTCCCTGAAGTGTTTCTGTTAGAGGTTCACATAAAAGGAACAGTGATTTTGTGGAACTTCCTAGGCCAAATCCCGACCATTTTGTGAAGGCTTCCCGAAAGTTGGGAGTACAGAACTCAGGAGCACACGCCGATTATTTGGGCTAATTTTCCTTTAAACGTGACTCTCGGGAAAGTTTGGCCCTCTTATAGACAAACTGTACGTCCAGCTCGGTATATCCTGGCTCTTCCCAAATGCGGATGAACGGATTTGGGACAGACGGTGCCACTTCCCCTGCTCAAAAGTGTACGGGAAACAGGGACATCGTTATGTGGAACACATAAGGGTCGTACTTTTCCGCTGGAGAGGACGGGGGGGGGTGGGGGAGGGTCGTGTTTGGTGGTTGTTGGGAGAGGGGGGTATGTTGTATGAGATTCGTCGTGTAGAGAAAAATTTTTCCTGACTATTGACTTTTCGCGTGATTTTTCCTGTTTCATGTGTACTAAACATCCCCCTCAACGAAAAATCTTCGGGGAAAAAAACTAGGTGGGTGTTGGGGAAGGGGGCGTACCGACACCACCATTTCATACATCACAATGCTGTACCACAGGAAAGAGGTCGAAGTACCGATACGCGGGAACCCTTTTCCAACTTCGTTCGCGCTGTTGCACGGCTCTTCAAAGCAAACCCGCCACTTGTCCACTATCCCTCACTTCTGTTCTTTATGAGTGGGTGCGTGTTGTGGTGGTTCAGTGGAATTATATATATGCCCTTGAGTAAGCAGCGAGAATGACAATAATAATCTATATAATACCTTTATTATGTATATGAGATGAACCTACGTCTTGATTGCGACGGTAGTTGTGCGAGGAAGGGCGAGTAAATGGACGTCTTACTCGGGACGTTGAACGGGAGGTAGCAAGCAGCTAGTAGTAGGGAATATAGCAGACTGCGTGCGGACCATTCATATCATGGATCGGCCTCATGGCCTTAAGGGC